AAACAACAGAAGATGTAACATAAAGCCCAAATATACATAACTAATAACAAAAACTATTAAAAAAACATGATTATTTAAACAAAATACTTTCAAATGTGGAGTGTCATGCAGGGAATTCTGGGAATATCAGTTTACAGTTTTTGACTGTAAATTATACATTGGTTTGTTTGTTTTTTACTTCTAAAAACTGTACAATTAACAGCATTTTACTGTAAAATTACATGAAATGTCTAGTTAGATCTTTTACCGTTTTTCCCTGTATATAGTACGGGAACTTACTGTTAACCTATTAACAGTTTTTTTCTGTAGCGTTTTTACAAAATTTTACAGCTAAAATTACATTTATTTTTTACAGTGTTGCTCATTACAGGGAATAAACTGGCAATTTTCTGGCAATGTTAATCCCAATGCCACACCACCTCATTCTGTAGACATTCATGCTGCTGTGGGCATAGAGAGAGACTGACAGAAAGGGAAAAAATCAAGGGTCTCTCTGGTCTCCTCTCTCTTTGAAATGTAATAAATTCGACCTTCTATTTAAGACTGGGTTGCATTACTTCAATCAATAACACATGGCACATGAATGTCAGATTACCCACTCACCTATTTTACAGCGAACTGTCTCAGAAGTTATTTACCAAAAGTCTATACTTCAATAAGACTCTGACAGATGCCCTCATCATCATAGATATAATGGCACTTCTAACAACTTTTCATTTCAGGATCGATGAAACTCTCCCCCTTCTGTTAGGACTTCCAGAGAATTGCCAGATCATTCCACACCCACTTCATGCTGTCTCTGGGTTTTTGATATCAGACTAGGCTATCTGGTGCATAAACCAGCAACCAAACCAGCCTTAGAAATTGTTTCTTGAGTAGTATTACATCTCTGATATGCCAGCCGCTCCTCTACCTTATTCTGTTCAAAACTTAATGTTTAGCATAAAGTTCTGCTCATTTGTCAACAGACACCTCCACAGGTTAAAAAAATGGATGTTTACTGCATCTACAAATCCTCCACTCAGTCTTTCTAATGGCAATCAATAAAATTATACCAATGCCTAAATAATCAACCATCTACTACATGATTCCTGCAGCTCTGCTTTTTGGGTATCCACATTCAATTCACCTGTCGTTCTTTATTTGCTGCAGTACAGTGTTTGCTCATTTGTCTTTTCGATCTAATCTTTGTCATTCTTTCAATTGTTGTCACTTATGATTACTTAACAAATTAAAGCTGTAATCATCACGTAATTAAGAGGTCTGTTGTGCTCCATAAAATAATTTAATCAAACCAAAACGTCACAAGCAACATTTGTCTTTCTATAGAGTTGTCTTCAATAAGACTGGAGGTAACCAAGACAGCAAGCTATTGTGGTATGTTTGAAAGTTTCTGTTCACCCATAGTATCTAGTTTGTGGTATAATGGTAAACCTCAGTGCATAAAGAGGAAATCATGGGAAAAACATCACAGACAGTAAGCCAGTTACTAAAGAACATATAGAATGTTTGGCTTTTATATGTGAATTGAAACCTCATGCTTGATATGGACAACAGAATTTCTGTCATATGCCTATTTAATTAAAGAGCGGTTGTCTTCATTTAAAGAAGCATACAATTCATCCAAAGTAAAATTAAAATTGTCTGGTTATTAAACAACTGAAAGCAATCTGCACTGGAACCCCACTTGTGTGCACTTTTCAAACGGTCGTTTTGTAATAATAATAATAATACATGATACAATAATAAAGTTTTGTACTTTTTGAATTCCTGAAATGATTGTGCAGAGGCAGGATTGACACCCATTTGGCGGCTGTTGTGTGTTTCAAAGGAGAGCTGTATTTTGCATAGACTCTGCGGGTGATCCGAGTCCCATCTAAAGATAATACGAGGTGAGTTTCTGAATTAAGTTGTGGTGCGTATGTGAAACCAATAGATGATGCTACGTCGGATGAGACTGTTTACACACAATGGCATTTCAGAGAGAATATTGCATTTTCAAAGCTTCATCTGCCCCTGTGATTGTAAAACGAATGTTTATTTTTCATGAACCAGTGACGGATTCGGCATCCAGCTGTTTTACATCTACTTTTAATTCCTTTTGTAATACTTCCCTCTTGTAGAAATCCCATAAGTATCTTTTTGAAATGGAGACACACTAACACACACATTCTCACACACACACACTTCAGAGGATACAATACACACACAACATAAACAATCAGGGATTACAATGAGAACAGAAAAGGCTGATGTTGTCTCATGACCACACTTTTTCCACCAGGCATTTCCCAAGAGATGTAAATTCCATCCTCTAATCTTATTTGTCATTGCATATTAGAGCCTTACTTGTGTTTACAAACCATATTCCTCTGCACTTGATACACAAGGCTAAGAGCTATAGAATCAAATCGGAGTGAAAGCCAATCCACGCTGGAGAAAACACAGTTTGGCCTGTTAGAGAAACGGGCTGAAGCACCTCCTCTAGTATCAAGAGGGGTAACAGTATCCCTGCTAGAATGTAACTGTTTATCATGGACTAATGTTCGGCAGGGGCTGCCAGAGCTGTGTGTGCTAAACAATGCACTCATTCAGGCCGTCGCGCATCTGCTAGTGATCTGGGACGGGACGTCGATACGCTCTCAAGGACGACGGCCTCTGGTCTGATCCAGAGGAGTTCTTGTGCCATCCTACCCTACATGTGCCATGCTTGAGAGCCAATTAGCCAGTGGGCTGGAGATGGAGAAAACAAGAAGGATGCAAACAAAGAGTAATTTATTGAGGGTTAAACATACAAATTATTCTTTCTTACAACAAGGCACAAAAAACAGTCTATGTGACTTTCATCTCCATCTTTACAGTGCATTAACTCTTTCTGTCCAGACCTTTAGGCTCCATCTTCCTCACAGAACCTCAGGTTTGATTCACGGAGAGCAGCCTTACCTTAATACTGAAGTAAAAGTGATGAAGAGAATTATGATGTGATTTGTTTGTTGCCGGTGCACCTCTGTGTGCACTCCAAGATGTCCCCAAAGTGGATCTGAACTACAGTAGTAGGTTGTGACTCCAAAATGCATGGGTTGCAGGATAGTAGGTGAAATAATAATGTTAAATGCACATAAAAAATGAAATGAAATTCATAATAGCAAAAGAAAAAAAAAAGCTTCCCATATGTTTTGTTGTTGGTGTCAAACGTCATGTGCCAGTAAAAAAAAATGATGAAACCACTCATAAGGGAAGGGACTGTAAATTCCTGAACCTCTGGTACGATCCATCTACAGATTCACAACAGGCAAACCACTATTAACATGTCTCCTATGTTAGGGTGTTATGAAGTCTGGAAAGGAATCACTGAGTCTTAAATGTCTTTTTCTATGCATTGTATAAGATGGAGAAGGACAGAGAAAAATAAAAAGATTTGAAGATACTTTAAATTTGGAGTCGTCTGTTATCTTTAGCCTTTGGGTGCTGTAATTATCATAATATATATATGTGTGTGTGTGTGTGTGTATATATATATATATATTATTATTGGGATTTGCTTTTTGTCAATTGTCACTCAGAAATTGCTAACTAATTTCACAAATGATTACAAAGAAATGAGAAGTAACAATGATAAAACATAGTATTTTCTTGTAAAACATACTTTATACAGTGCATTTTTCTTAATGTTTTTTTAAGTCTGATTTAAGAACTTTTTGTTCATTTACAGTATCTCATGCTGCAGTACAGATCTATGAAATTTTTTTGTGTGAGAGTGAGAGTTTGAAAATATACCCCAGACAATCTAAATTAAGAGCTTTTTTGGGACACAATTTTAGTGGGACACCCATTAAATTTTAGTATGACTTATATCATATAGGCATACATCTCTTTCATTTACTTGTAACACATAGTCTTTGTCACTCATTCACACACACACACACACACACACACGTGCGCCCGCGGGGTTATACCCCCAAATATTGACAGAGATTTAAAGAAAGCATGGCTGAGATGGAGAAAGAGGGAAGACCTCCGGAAAACAAGAGGAGCAGAAAGACAGCTCACCCCGTGAAGAGGGAAATTAACGCAGAGATAAAGGTAGGTTGTGCGTGCGCTCTCTCTCTCACTGGCGCCCATAAAGGCTTGTCATTTTTGGATGCGTTGAGCGCACCGCCGCTCCCCCCTCGGACTGAATATAGAGAACCGATTCATTCAAGCTCTGTGTGTTTGGGGTTAATCAGCTAACTTAGATTTGTTTTTCTGGGTTGCAGAACAGGTCGGCATTGAGCTTAATTTACACACCTTCCAAACCACTCTAGTCTTGCTTTCCAGTGCTTGAGATGATCTGTTTTGTTTTTATTGCGTTATGGATTTTATTTAAACACATATTTATATGCGTTTCTATCCCATATGCGCGTAAAGTATAACATGTCCACAGTCACATCACGAGATGGTTTAGAGTGAAATCCCCTTGTTGGCTCCACTGTAGTTGATGGAAAATCCAGTGCGTCAGTCTCTGCGTCAAACTGCTGCGTTACTACTACTACTAGCGCGTTACTATCACTCTGCTAAACAACACAGAAACATCAGAATAGAGTAAAACTCAATAATGAAACGGAAAGCATGTTGGAAGGGTACAGCTGTCCAGCTGTTCTCTGATGGGAAGCGCTGGTACCTCCAGATGTGCATCTGTTCAACACTGAGCGCTGTCTGCTCGTGACAAATGCACATTTAAAAAGCCTTTTCGAGGTATTTGGTGTATGCAGTAGTTTCGTTTATTCAAGAGCAAGGAGATTATTTTACTTTTTGCTCTGTTTGAGGAAAGCCATGCGTTAGTTTTGAAGGCGCACACAGGCGCTTTGTCTCCTGGTTTTGTGGTGCTCATTGTCTGAAGCGTTTGCATCAGCTGCCATGCAGCCTAATGTTTTGGAAACGCCAGAATTTATCTGTGCTCTTTATCAGATCAAGTTACATTTATTCTGATAGCAAAATCGTGGTTTACAGGGACGCATTTCATTATTGTTATTATTAATTTGATAACGTGTTTAGGTCACTGTAAACGCGTGTGTGTCTTTGGTGAATTTGCTCCGTTCGCTTTCTTTCGTGCCAGTGATTATTTGACGAAACCTGCGTGAGGCTCACGGGTCCGCCGGGGCTCTAAATTTGACAGATATTGATCGACCTGTAGCGGAGATACACGCGTGCGTCTCCCCAGTCGCCTTAAACACCACCGATCTTTAAGTTTGACGTAACTCACACACACATAAGAGAGGGATGCAATGCTGCCCTTACAGAAACTGACTTATTCTGGGGTGTGAATTATTGGGGGTTTGAGGGCCCTGAACCCTCTTAATTATTCAGTCATTATATTATGATAGTTATTGTTAGTAATGTTTAGTGTTTTATTTACAATCATCGTACTTTTATTTAGTCATGAATATGGAAGTTTAATTCAGGTTATTCTGTTTGACTTCACATAACCTTGCATTTTCATAAAAATAAAAGACATCAGGGTCTATGGACTATAGAGGTCCTCACTGTGATATCATTTCCTGTTTATGTCAAATGACAACAAAACCACTGCATGGATGTTGGGTACATCATTGACTTTGATTTGGCTGACAAATACTTTTCAAATATTACTTAATAAAACAAAACCACTTTTTAAAATAGAAATGATAATAAAAAAAATGAATGAAAATTTTGTTTCAAGAATTTCAACCTTTTCATGACACCTTTTTCATTTTTGCAGTCCCCTGACCATTACACCACTTAGATGTGTTTGAACATTAAAATTCATTTTAATTTAGAAATTGAAAAATATTCATCATCATCAAAAGTTTATTATCCGTGTGAATATTACTTGCAATTGTAATCAATTTTGAGTTTTGAGGAAGTTTTTCCCTCTGTCTGCAGCTTGTTTTATCAATGAATTGACATGAAAATAAATTTCTGCCTATGTAACAAGTTTACATTGTCTTTCACACTGCTGACCTTTCCTTTAATAAGGAATCAATTTTTATACAGTCAGTTTATGACAGAAAGGGATTGGAACAAATACCTTGCTTCTCAAATGGTGTAAATCTTCCATTTGCTGAAATAATTTTTTGCTTGTTTTCCATTAAGTCATTTCCCTTCTCTTACTAAAAGTAGAACAAATAAAAGCTTGAACAATGGGTGCTATTAAAAGCATTATCAAATATATACATGATAAGTTAAAAAGATTTGGCATTCTGTCAGTTTATGGAGAGCTTGTGGATGAAACTCAACTCAAGCTGTAATATACCCTTTTGGGTTACTAAATAGGAGATTAAAATATGGCAAGAATAAAGGTGGAGTTGGGCAGATGAAGGATGCTGGAAGAACTGTCACCTGAGTGAGGTAGGCTGCGACTTATAAAACTCATTATAAAGACTGCTTATACATAACAGCTTGTGCACTGCTCGTCTTTATTCTGTTGAATTTAGTGCCCAATTCAGCGATTTCTCAGAATACTTTTAAGTCTGTCACACAATGTTTAGTCTTTATTTTCTTCTGTAATTTACTATGCTCATCTCCAAAGGTCTGTGGTGAGGGTTGGCCTTGTTAGGGGTGTTGTGTGTATACCAGTCAGGCACAAGTCTGTCATTTTATCCATAGAGTTGTCATTTTTCCACAGGGCTGTGGATGAAGCTGACCTCTGCCCTGCTTTTGACACCACATTTTAACCCACCCAACTATTTTACGGCAAACTCTCCAGACAGCATCCAGCAGCAATTCACCTTGGGATTAATTTTTTATATAATATATAAATATAATATATAATATATTTATATATATATATTAATCTTACAGACCACCTATAACATGCATGATTAACTTGAAAATTACACTTATATAAGAGATCACATTGTATTTACATATATACACATAATATTGCACACATCATTTACTGTAACAAAAAAGACAACATACTAAATACACCATAATAAAACACTGCCGCTGATCAGGCGCCACCTTCTTTGGTAACAACAGCAAATTAGCTGAGCATGCTGGGTAATCGGTGGTAGGCTACTACAGTTTATTCACACAAATTAATTCTGTGGTTTATCTTTTTTGTCATTTATAGTGTACCAGCCCACTATAGTCCACCCTTAATCTAGCAGTGTACTATAGTGGACTAAGGCAGAGCATTTCACTTTGATATAAACTGATATGCTTCATCATGGGAACTTTTCAAATAATTGACAGATGATGATTATAATTGCCTCAGCTATCCTGAAGCGCACAGGTGTTTTTCACAGACAACCACCCACATCAATTCTTCTCACCCTGCAATCTCTCTGATAGGATTCCACACATTAAATGCCTCTTTCCAAAAATGAATAATGAAGAGTATTTTAAAGCAGTTATGTGATGAAGTGTGAGATTGACTGTGATCTTATACACTAATACTTGTCATATGTCAAGCCAACCGAATAATTAAATGTTCTGTTTTAGGGGTCATCCGATGCTACATGCACTTTTACAAGTTGTTTGAACTGAAATGTGTGTTGGCAGTGTGTGTACACAACCACCCTATAATGATAAAAATCCACCCAGTATTTTTTTTAATCTACTAACATCTTTAACCCTTTCTCAAATCGAGCCGATCTCAGATAGTTTCCCACGATAGTTGACTGACAGTAGCGTTTCAGCACAGACTGGCTTGTTCTTTAAAGGTGAAAGAAAAGTCTTCACTCTTTTTTCTCACAGTCACTTCCTGTTTGAGGGTCGGTACCTATGTAAATAACTCCCGATATGCACAAACAAAGCATATTGTAACACATAAAGAGCGTGTGTGTATAAATATCATCTGCGTTTTACTCTGCACTTCTCTCTTATTGCCTCAGTGAGAACTTGAGACCTGAGCATTATGAATTTCCCCCTCTCACGTATCAGATTTCCACCAACACACACACACACACACACACACCCTGCCTATGAGGAGTCCCTTGCTTTGGTGCTGTTTAAAGCAATTCTTTGTTTCATTTTTCTCTTACTTACAAGAAATAAGACAAAAGAAAAATGGCAAAAGGAAAGCACCAGAGAGATACGGTAGATTGTACACAATGTGGCCTTGTGGAGGATTATTCCTCTGAGAGAGATACACAGAAGAGACGTCTGACAGTGTTGCCTTCATCTCTGTCTGCTTTCATGTGTAGCATGGTAAAATAAGCCCCGTGCTGGTGATTGCCCCGACGGAGAGGGGGATGAGAGAGAGGGAGAGGAGAAAGGAATGTATACAGCAATAGGCAGCCTAAGCTGTAAAAACTGAAAGCTGAGAATGCAGGCCGGATCGGATATCAAGGAAGGTAGATGGAAATGAAAGCAGAGCATAGTGGTGGTGGGGGGGAGAAAGAAAGAGAGAGAGTATGGAGAGAGAAAAAGAAAGTGATATTCAATATGAGAGAGGGAGAAGAGAAAAAAGCAAGAAGGGAATGGAAAAGTGTGGGTTGGGAGGAGAGGAGAGAGAGAGAGAGAGAGAGAGAGCGAGATGAGGAAAGAGCAGTTGGTCATGTTGAAGGGAGGAGGGAATTTTATCATGGTGTACAGTGACCTACTCTTGTTACCACGCGCAGGGTGTCCGATTCCCCCCGCCGTCACAATCACGGCGAACAGAGAGGGAATGAGATTTGCTGCTTGTATCTTGTAACTTTTCTCACTGATTTTTCAGTCTAGCATGAAAAGCATTCTCTCCAAACATTACCGATTTCATTTAGTCTCTATAAGGGAGGAAGCACAGGAGAGAGAGAGAGAGGGAAAGAGGTTGGTCAGAAGGAAAGTTGGTGAAGGGAAGAGGGAATTTTATCATGGTGTACAGTGACCTACTCTTGTTACTGTGCGCAGGGTGTCCGATTCCCTCCGCCGTCACAATCACGGCAAACAGAGAGGGAAGGCGGCAGAGAGGGAATGAGATTTGCTGCCTCATATCTTGTACCGTTTCTCCTTGATGTTCCAGTCTACCATGAAAATCATTCTCTCCAAACATTTCCGATTTCATTTAGCCTCTACAAGAGAGGAAGCACAGTATTTTTCTCTCTCTATCTATTTTTTTTCATAGTGATTTTTTGGTTTTATCAGAGCATGTGTATATCGGGCGGCCTTCAGAAGGGGAGGAGTGCAGGGAATTTCAGATTGCAATTATGTGTATGGAGTAACATTTAGTGCAGAACTCAGAGCATTTGACAGAACTCAAGCTGATCGGCAGCACTTATTAAAGACTAACACACAGCAGTCATGCACATCATGTTTTAAATTGTCGATTTTCCTCGGCGCTTTGTAACGGTGTTTTCTAAACTTGTTTTGTAATGGTTACATGTGCATGCATTTGTGCATAAAATAAAAAAACACTTAAAACATTCATTATAGATTTAAAGGGTAGATTAGCTTTAATTTATTTGATTTCACTTTAAAAGCTTTGCTCTATTTTTAATAGTGTTTAAATTGGAGATGCACAAACTAGGGCCTGCGGGCTAAATTTGGCCCACGATGATGACCTTTGGAATTGACCTGCCATGCCATTATGACTAGAGGAAGGCAAGGCAAGGCAAGGCAAGTTTATTCATATAGCACATTTCGTACACAATGGTAATTCAAAGTGCTTTGTTTTTTACACTACCATTGAGAAATTTTAACCAAACTGTTACAGACTTTTCATTAAGACCCTAAAGAATCATATCAACTTGTGAAAAATGGGCATCGGATGACCCCTTTAAACGTTCAGAGTTTAGCTAAAACATTTACATATTGTTGCATGAAAGATAATTTAATAGATCATACCCTAGAAAAATATTCTTTAAAAAATCCCCTATACAAGCAAAGCTGTGAAGCATTTTTGAATCCTTAATGTCAAAGCTGAGACATTAAGGATTCAAAAATGGCTATTTTGCAGCATTTCCATGAAATGAGCGAACTGTTCTTAAAAGAACCATTTAGTGTGAAGAATATTTTAATAATCTGAAGAACCTTTTGTGTAATGGGTTTCCATGGATATTAAAGGTTCTTCCAGGAACCACAAATGCCAATAATGAACCTTTATTTTTAAGAGTGCATAATTCAAAATAGTGGTCCATTAATATTGATCTTTCAAAAATTAGTTCTTAAATTATTACTTTTAGTTTCCCTAATCCTGGATATGCGGTTGCATCCATACAACAACATCCCATACATCTTCACCAGACACATGCAGGTGCCCTAGATACCCCATGCAGATACCCCATACAGTTAGACCGCAGAGACACCGCCACAGCTAAGGGCGGTGATCCCATGCATATGCAAAAGGAGCAGATGAACAATGTGCGTGTGTCACGCCCCATGTAACATGAAAAACAGGAAACAGCAAAGCCATGGAGACAAAACAAAACTTTTCCCCAAACATTTGCGTCAAGATCAGGTTCTGTGGAATCAAAGCTAAATTTGATATGTGGTATAAAGTAACCAGAGGAGGGTTTAGAGCAAGGGTCTGTTCGAGGGGTCTGAGATACATGCACGAACAGGTGTGGGTAAAAGGGGGAAAATCACAGCGAGGTTGAATACTTCCATCCCAGCTGTATTATCAAATGTGTCTGCATGGCTTTCACTCATTTTTTCATTTTTAAACTGAGTTCATGCTTTCTGCTGTGAGCTCTACACTCTCAGAAAAAAAAGGTACAAAACTGTCACTGGTACCCTTTCAAAAGGTACTAATATGTACCATTTAGGGGTTAATAAAGTATCTTTTGTACCTTAGGATACCGCCCCAGTGACAGCTTTGTACCTTTTTTCCTGAAAGT